GACCGAGCACCTTGTGTGTATCGGAATCGTCGAATTCCTTTATCGCCGAAAGACGGTGTGATAGTGGGATTGTATCTAAAACCGGACGCGAATTACTAGTCCACTTCACAAGATCGAATTGACCCGATTTCATGAGCCTTATAACCTCGGCGGTGGTTAGGGTGGCCTCCTCCACGCTATCGACCGAATACACAAAATCATCCATATATAATCCGCTCTCAATTGCCCTCTTAGCTTTAGGATAAGAGGGACCTTCATCGTGAGCGAGCTGTCTCACCGTGCGTAACGCATGAAATGGGCTCGACTTTAAACCAAAACAAACGCGGTTAAATTCAAACACCATTAGAGGTTCCTTTGGGTTGAAACGATATAAAATGCGCTGGAATCTACGGTCGCATTCACGGACCCCTATGCAAAGAAACATTTGGCGAATATCGGCGGATAGTGCTATACTAAACAAACGAAAATTGACTATTATATCAAATAAGCTGCCCTGTAAATTTTGCCCACTATAGAGGATATCGTTAAGCGACAGGTGAGTGCTAGTTTTAGCACTAGCGTCGAGCACTACACGTAATTTAGATGTAAGTTTGTCCTCTCTAATGACTCCGTGGTGTGGTATAAAATACGACGGTGTGTCTTCGTAGTTATCTAATTTCGAAGCCACAAGTGATATGTAACCTTCTCTTATATATTCGTTAATGACGCCGTCGTAAGCTTCCTTTAACTGGGGCGAAGCGAGCATCCTACGCTCCAAGCTGTAGAAACGTTTTTCCGCCATTTGACGCGAATCGCCGAGAGATAAAACATCTCCCTTAAAGGGTAGCGCTACACTATATCTACCGTCGCGATCACGAACGGTCGTGCGGACGTAAATTTCCTCGCATATCCTGTCAGCTGAACTAGCTATGGGTGGGACGTTCACCTCCTCCATCTCCCAAAATTTGCGGACTAACGACTCGAGCGGTTCGACAGCCATACCACAATAAGATGCTGCCGAAATACTATCTAGGATGGGGGCGGAGCCAAGGATCACATAGCCCAATACGGTTTCCAGTGCGTAAGGCGCGGTATGCGAGGAGTTGCCCCTGACCTTATTGTTTAACAAAAGATGAGGGAAAAGCGATGCCCCAATGAGCATGTCTATGTTTCCAGGAACGGCGTAAGTGTCGTCTGCTAGAGTCAAATTTTTAAATTCAATCATTGCCGAGGTGTCAACCGAAACGGTTGGCAACCGTTCAGTGACCCTATCTACTACTAGTGCATTTATATCAAAGTTAACGTTACGATCTATCCGAGAATAAAATTTTAAATTTATATATCCCTGTGTCGCTTTACTAGTACCTCCGATGCCTTTAACTACAGGACATGAAAGTGACCTATTTATTACTAAGCCTAAGCGCTGACAACATTGTCGTGTTATAAAGCTATTTTGGGCTCCGCTGTCCAGCAGTGCACGGACGCTTTGTTTGTTTCCACGCGAATCCCTAACCAAAATACGCGCCGTACCCAGTAACACGGTTGAAGGAGGTTGTGCTCCCATATTTGCCAATGAGCACAGAGCGACATCATCAGGTCGACCGCTAGAATCGTTGACCTTAGTAGGGGTGAATTCCTTATTCGCCTTACTTGACGCCGCTATGTTGCTATTTTCAAAATGTAATAGCGTGTGATGTTTCCTGGCGCACTTGCTACATACGGAACTCGAATTGCATTTTGCAACTAAATGCTTATCGCTTAAGCAGTTCAAACATAGGTTGTTTGTTTTTACTAACTTATAACGTTCGCTTGGTGAATATTTACGAAAAGTCGCACAGTTATATAAGTTACCGTGTTTATCTTTACATACTATACAAGTATGCTGGAGCGATGTCGGCGTAGCGGTTACGTAAGTTAACGACCCTGCTATTTTAGATGATTGAGTCTGTCTACGGTCGACGCACCTTTTAATCTCCTGTTTAACGTTCGGTGAGCGCTGCATCACCTTTATTTGATCTCGCACGAACGATGCTAATGAATGAAAGGAAGGCATCTCCGAGCTACGATGCTCCATTTCAAACGCACGCACGGTGTCGGAGTCTAGTTTCTTCAATGCTATATGGAGAAACACCACGTCCATGAGGTCATTAAACTTCAAATTCTTAAGTGCAGCCACCGATGCCACAAATTTATCGAGAAACTGCTCTAAGCCGTTGATGTTCGCGGATGATATAGGTTTAAGATCGAATATCTGGTTCAAATATTCGGAAGCTAACATTCTCCTATCTTCATATTTAGTTTTAAGCGTTTCAAATATTAATACGTAATTGTTTGCTGTAGGTGTAAAACCCGAGCAGATCGACTGTGCTCTGCCACTAAGTTTGCTAATTAAGTAATATAATTTTTCAGCGTCCGATAACGATGGGTTGTTGTGTATATTGTTTTGAAAACTACTGAAGAAGAAGGGCCACGTCTTAATATCACCATTGAATACCGGAATATCTATTGGCGGTAACCTAATTGAGTCACGAGGGCGTACCTGCATTTCAGGCTTCGCTTCACCTTGAGATTGTAGCAATTTTGCGGTTCTCTTCACGCGACACAACATATCTTCGAATGCCAGCAGCGGTTGGTAGTTCACTATGTATTTCGGGTCGGTTTGTAGTTCCGAATGATTAATTTGGTCTAATATTCTTTCGTAATCCGTCCGCAAATTATCAATCGTTTCGATTTCATTTAAAAAGGCCTCCCGTACTGCCTCTATATGAATGTTCTTTATATAATCACTTATATTTTGCACACGCGAAAAGAGTATGTCCCTCTTGGCATAAAGCGTTTTAATTTTGATTTCACTTCCACTAACTGCCATTTTAAATTATTATAATAAAGTTATATTAATCACAATTAATCTCACACGCATAAACGACGTAGGATGAATACTCGGCGTGCTGTATTACGTAATCAGATCGAGCGCCCGATGCAGTCAAGGCTACGCGTCGTTTGCTAAACCTAATAATTTTATAAAATTGTGGGGTAAGCGTATCAAACGGTTGCTATCACGCCGTTTCAATTATTTAATAAGCTTTAAATTTAACCAAATACGAGCGCTATTAAATGAATAATTCTGTTTGCGAGTAACAAATCAAAATTTTAATTTAAACGAACACCATTCAAGTCTATTCTATAAATTAGAGTGCGTTATCTAAACAATTAATTTAATAATTCGACCAGAAAATGGTTGGATAACCACTAAACACCAATCCAGATCCTGCCGAAGTGACCATAAAATGGTGGAGCCACGTGTTTAAGGCTGCCGAAAATCTAGTTCCCCGGTCAAACCTCAAACCTATTACGCGAGATATTAACTAAAGTGGACTGTATATGCGATTGCTTTTACGCTTACGTTAAAAGCGACTACTATAGCATGCGGTACAATGCACTCGCTCTTCCCTAAACTAAACTATTACTTGTCGAATCGATGAAAGGAATCCTGCTTGACTAGGAAAAAAACACAAATTGGAGCGGGTTAAATTATTAGCAAGCAGGTATAATTAAGGAGTATTGACTCACCGGGGTTTCTTCTTCCTGTCGATCACTATGGCGGCGACTTCCGGAACACTCCGGAGAGAGGCGGTGCGCGACGATATCTCACACGAGGTGAGGCGGGTTCCTGGAGCTCGACTGCTTCCAGGCCAAAGCGGTTTCCACTAGCGAGGTGTTTCCAAACGAGCGCGCGGGAAGAGGAGGTTGTAGTTCAACGACGACTGCGGCGGGAGAAGAGAGCGCGCGTCGGTCGCGCGTGTCTTATATATCCTCGGGTCCGATGATTACGCGATGTTCTAGAATCGTCTTCTTTCCCCTCCCACCCCACCACCCCGATGTGTCGATAGGAGGGTACGAATGATATTGTTTCGGAAGGGAATAATGATTCGACAAATTCCTACCGTCAAAAATAAAAAAACGCGAATGGTTTTCCGCGCAACCATAACTAATTTTTATAAAATGTATTTGTTTTTTATTACGCATACGTAGTATATTATATTTTTAAGTCTGAATATAAAATATTCCTTCAATTAAGCTACTTTTATAAATCGAACTAATTTGAATTACAACACATAAAGCCACCTGCAATAAACGTTAAAGAAGGCTGTAGTGTGTGCCGCGGACGACACTCCTGGTCTGGTGGTGCGTTGGTAGAGACCGGTGCGCGACGATAACTCGCACTATGCGAGGCGGTTACTTGTAGTGGTTCTTCTGTGGCAGGCATGCCACAGAAGAACCACTAGAAGTAACCATTACCAAATAATAAATATAATAAATATAACCATAACCAAAAATTTAAAGTGCGATCAAAACTAGCGGAGTCGTTGAACTACAATACAAGAAGGGGCGAGAGACGGCAGTTCGTGTCAATATATGGGCAGGTCACCACCACTTCCATCTCGGCGGGGCGCATTCCAGGGGACGCGATTTTTCAGCCAATGCTGAAAAATCGCGTCACCTTCTAGACCCCTTCCCCCTTCAGTGCGTGTGGAAGGGATGCATGGATACAGAAAGGAAGGACACTGGCGAGCAATAATCAACCGAACAAAATATATTAGAGTACCCGATTCTTTATCCGCGCAACCAGATAATATTCTCGTTGTTAACTCTATAATCCACTCAAAAGGTTCAAAAAATTAAACTTAAATAAAAACTAAAAACCGACTTTAAAGAAGTAAAAAATAATAATTTATTTCCACTTATCTACTTCTCAATTAGGGTCTTTAATTCTTCCATACACTATGTCTTAGCACTGACTTCTGAAGCTGTTATTGGAAAGTTATTAATTTATTATTTTTAGTTATTTGAGTTTGAAGGTTTTTTTAGGTTTTTGCGTTTAAAAATAATAATGTACGATTATATATATATATATATATATATATATATATATATATATATATATATATATATATATATATATATATATAATCATTTAAATACATATTTTAATTACTATAACAATATCTGTAAAGACTTACCAAATGAAACCATGAGTGAAATTATTACAGGCACGGTGATTATTAAAAAGGCATTCGATTTTTTAATCCAGCATCTGTTAAGAAAACATCAAAAGTATTTTAGAGTATAATATGATTTGAGAAGTTATTATGTAATGCCATCAATTGTCTCAAAATATTTAACTTATTAATTTTGCATTGCATCAATCGTACATTTACTTAGATTGTTAATTGCTGCTGTAATAGCAACTGAAATTTTATATTGAATAAGTCGCAAGCAAATACGAATAGAAATACATTCGCAAAGCCGCTCTAAAATGTACAAGTAATCATTTATAGCAAGAAACACATTCGCGTTGCTAAAAGCACAAAGAGAATGGGTGCGTTCGGCAGAAAAAAGCGCTAGCAAGCGCTTGTAAGCAAAATGGCGATCGTAAGCGGTAAGCGCTGTCAAATCGTAAGTAGCTATTTTCCTCCAGGACACGATGTTAGTTTTAACCGGGGAATCTAACCTAATTTAAATATATGTTTGTAAAGTATTCATATTAAAACTTACCAATCATGAGTTTTTAATAGCATGTATATGTTTATTCATGTCATTATATTACTTAAAACTAATATTGCACAAAACAACTTATAAACTCTACTTCAAAACAAACAAATTAAATAAGCAAAATGGCGGATTGTTTCAGCGCTACTGAAGTAGCAATCGTGTCCTGGCCGAAAACTATTTTAGCGCTTATAAGCGCTTGCTAGCGCTTTTTTCTGCCAAACGCACCCAATAACATGAGCATTATTCTTAGGATATTCGCAGTGTATGTCTCGTCGTGTTCATGGGAATTACAATTACGTGTTTATAATGAGTTATTTGTAATTGCAATTTGACACTGTTTAAATTTTTTACCGTAAAACACTATATTATAATTGTATATTAAAATGAAGTAAGTAAATACATATATTACCTTTCGCTTTCTCCTGGTATAGTATAGCGGACAATGGTGTAGAGTGCGGTGAATATAACCGCCAGGCCCCATCCTAAAGCTTTAAACCACCGCATCGCCATTTCATGTCTCACGAACACCTGCAATAATGATTTTATGTATTCTTGCTATCGCAATCGTAATATAAAGCTGCTAAATAATGATGACGTTGAACTGGAAAAGTTAAATTTGCTTTGAAAGTATTAAAGTGGCTGAAATTAATAATAAAAAAGGCATGACAAAGTAGGTACTTGCGTTTGAAACTAATTACTATCATAACTATAAACTGGAGAACTACTGGAGATTGAATTATGGTTGCATGTTATTACGTAACTATTCGGCAAAAGCTATTTTAGTACTGTATCGCATTGCAATCTCACAGCGGTTTATAAGCTTTGCTTCAAATTTTGTTGCATATTATTAAAGATACAATAAATTTTATGCAAATCGTGCATATAAATATTAACATATGCCGAAAAAAGTCAATCAAAGCAGCATTTATTTATTTTTGTTTATTTATTTATTCTTTATTGCATTCCTCAAATCATAAGAATATATAGGGCGGACTTAATGCCTTGAGGCATTCTCTACCTGTCAACCCACGGAGTGATGAGAATTTGACTAACATGTAGCAATATAGAATAAAAAACAACATAAAAATGATAATTAACTACGTAATATATACATTTTACTAACCCATAAAAATAAAGTATACAAATATAACCTATATATACATATATACAAATACCTACATATGTAGCTTTAGTTCATCTAAAAAGTAAAAATAGGCTAAAGATTTCAAAATGAGTTGCAAATTTCCATCGACTATATCAGAAAGATAAAGATGATACTTCAGATAGTTTATTCTTTGACAAAAATGTGTTTTTTTATAATGTAGTATTAGTAGTAGCAGAGCAGAACGTGTTTACAGTGCATGTGTAGCCCATGGACTTTGCAACCAACTTTGGACAAAGATGGCTAGTAATTTATTATTAACCCTGGTTATAAATAAGGTGGATTGCCTAACAACTTGTTACTACGCAGGCTTTCTTACCCTTTGAACCCGTACTCAGAAGGACTTCTAGACAGGAAAGAAGGCCTATTATCTAGTATAAAGGACAAAAATATTTGTATAAGACTCTTGTCGTATTTGTTCAATTGAATTTAAAAATACTGAGTTTGTGGAAGTTCTTTCAAATTTTTTTTAATTTGATGATTTAAAATAAATCACAGCGCTTTATCTAGCTCCATTACTACATACCGTCTTCAGGAATAAAAGAAAAAAGTCAAGCACTGGCCTACAGAAGTAAAAAAATAAAACTCTAATTATTATTTTTGTTACATAATAATGTAACGATGAATATTAAAATGTATAGTACTAATTAGTACTTCCAAGTAGCTTGAAGATAACTTTACCAATATCAAGACATGATATTTATTTTTTGAAAAACAGTGCTGATTTTTTTTATTTAACTGTCTTTACGGCTCTAGGTTCTAGCCCTTTTGAGCTTATCAATTCTTTCAGATTTTTCATTTTATTTTTTTTTTCTTCACAATATGCTGATGCATCAAATAATGTTTTTATTTAGAAATTAGGTACTGAAAAAACGAAAAACAGATAAAACTCACACACTCACTCGTTTAATTTTTCAGCTCTTAAGGCCCCTGGCATTTAAGTTATCCCTATTATGAATGATGGAGCTACTATGAACATAAGCATCAATAGGAAGAATAGACATAACTCTCCTTTTTCATGTGTATGCGATCGGTAGTCGGATTAAAATTAGCCTATAAAATGTCTATATAGGAATAAATAGCATAAATAATAATATAAATGAAAGGATATATAGGAACTTCATACCAAATTTTATGGAAATCTTCTGGGAGATTTTACGTGTATCGTGAATAAACAAACACACAGACAAAAATATAGGATTCATTCGAATTTTTTTTACTAAAAGTAAATGTACAAAATATAAAAAACGTGTTTAATTATAGTATTTGTAAATGTAAAAAGACTATTTAACAGACCTCAAATTTCACTACCCTGCACAGATAAGTTATTTGTGTAAATAAATTTTTTTTGTGCGTATAAAAGTTAATTTTGTATATCAAGGGTTGGAAGTTCAATACAGATGTATTCTTCTTTCAACTCTTAGTAAATATCGTAGTTCAATCGTATAATAGGGCAGATTGTGATCTGCCTGTTTCATTTCTTGTAAACCGCCATTCCATGATTTGGTCGATGACACAACATATCATATTAATTCATTTTATTAGCTACGGTAATGATTACAGCCAGTTGAAGTCCACCTCTGAACATAGACCCATAGATTGCCATAGGGGGGATATTTGCCATAGTTGCCACGCTTGGCAAGCGGGTTGACAACCGCAGTTTTTATTTTTAATCGTTATTGGAAGACGCTGCTGCTAATCTCCTAAATTGTTTCCCCCAGTCGCCTCTTACTACACCCACAAGATGATATGTGGTAGTAGATATTCTTACACCGGCACTACTCGGTACTAGTTAAATATTTAACAACATGGATTCGAATACGCCATTGTACTATTGTCGTGCACCATTCTTCTGGCTTTTAAAGTGTAATTTTTTATTTATTTCTTAAATTACAAACCAGTGCTGGGCTATAATTCCATCTTAGTGCACGAAGTGATGCAGCTTTGAGTGATATACCTAGAGCGTTTTACCACCCAAGCCTTCATTTCCGTTTGAAATGAATTTTGCTTGCAATATCCGATAGATTCTGATATCGGGTATAAGACATAGAGTATTGAATAATTAGTGAATCGTAAATGATTTTATTCCTCTAAGTTTTTGAAGTTGGTTTTTACGTTTTATTAAAAGTTTAATTTTTTAACTTTGTGGATGGACTAAGGAATATCACAAGCTCAAGGCAACCATAATGTCACCTAAACGATTGCATTAAAAACTTCTTCCCCTATTTTTTACCTTTATAGATAGGATATGTCCACAACTGTGTGATATACTTGGAGTTTTTTTTCCTCGCACGACTACTTTGTGGGATCTATTATCAACGGTGACTTTTTGGGGCCGATACGACTTGACCATCGAGAAACGAGCTTACTTCTTTTTAAAAGGCCGGCAGTGCGTCTGCAATACTCCTGGTGCTGCAGTTGTTCGTGGGTGGCGTCGACACTTACCATCAGGTGAGACGCATGCTCCTTTGCCCCCTCTTCTATTAAAAATGTGATTCTTTTTTAAAGATAAAACCTATTTACTAAAAATTTCATAGACGAAGAAGAAGAGGATGAAAAAGAGAAAGAAGGAAGAGAAGTTATGGCTGAACATACATAAAAATCTTAAAAAATTCGAATGAAAAATATTTTCACCTTTTTGAATTCATTTAAAATATCTTTGTGTAATTACTTTTTTAAATTATATTTTTATTTAATAAATATAAACATAAAATAAACAATAATAATGCCACCACATATCACAGATGAAGTAAAAAGGTAGATACAGCGCGGCCTTTGTTATTGGTGAAGCCAAAAATACTCCGCTCCTTTATGTAAGCACACGCGTTCACGCACACACATGCATAAAACTACGCACATTTTCGCTCAGTACTTCCCGAGGCGTCGTGCAGTAAATTTTCCTACAAAATGCCATCCTGTGCAGTTAAATGGTGTAAAAACAATACTAAAGTGAACAAAAAGTCTGAAGCAATATAGGTTCACTCGTAAACACTCATTTAACTATATTTTAATTTGTTATTCCAATCCAATTTTGAAGGTTATTCGAGGCACGAATGTCAATGTTTCGAGATTACGTAACATTTACGTATACATACGTAATATTTACTTAACTACCACACCAGGTCTTACACACCAGGCTTAAAACATTCTAAAACCTTAATCCGGGTTTTGATCGTAAATTTGCCTCAGAAGCCCTGGGATTAAGTAAAAATAAATTGCGCATTCTGGCAAGAGCCCTAACTGGACACTGTTGTCTTAAAAAGCACATGTCCATCCTGGGACTAAGCAACTCAAGGATGTGTCGGTTCTGTTCCATGATGGAAGGAACGCCTCTACACATCCTAACTGACCCTTAATGCGCAAACGTAACACTCATCTGGGAACTATCTACTCTGCCCAGAAGAAGTGGAATTGCTCACGGCTAAGCAACACCTTCTATTCATTGAAGACATAGGGCTTAGCTGTGAACTATAGCCATAGCAGCGAACACAATAGATCTTCTAGGTCGCAGTGATACTGGTCTCTTTCCCTAGACCTGCATAGCTGCTCGCACTTAATTAAAAAAGTCGCTGATGTTTCTGTTTTAATTGTTGAGTACATACAAACAATTAAAAAATATTTATGATTTTAGGCTACCGACGAATATTTTAATAAGACATGAATTTTTTACGTGTTAGAGCCGTGCTGCAGTTATACTATTAATAGTATAGTAATAGCACGAATGGGTCGGCTCGATCGGGGAAGGACCACGCTCTCACAGAATACCAGCGTAAAATAGTAGCTTAAGACTGCTGTTTTGTATGGTGAGTGTAGAGAACTGGAGACCCTTTTTACTGGAAACGAGGCATTCCATCTTAGTCCTCACGGCTGACAACGCATCTGCATTTTGATTCGTAATCGAGGATATATGTAGAAGTCTATGGGCCACAGCAACCACCTATCATCAGGTGGACTATATGCTCGTTTGTCTCCCTATCCTACGAAAAAAATGAAGGGTAGCTGCTATAAGACTGAGCTGAAATGAACCAAAATGGCAGCCATCCTTTTGACTTGACAGTGGTAGAGCCATGCAGCGGCTATGGATGTCACATGGATGTACCACAACCTCACAGAATACCTGCGTGAAGTAGAGGTTTACCTCTGCGTTCCGTTTGGGCTGGAGGCCCTATTCCCCCTGCCCCTTAAAATCGCAGCGAAATCAAATAAAAACTACCCCAAGAGGGTACCCTCACCCCTGGTGACGGAGAATCCCTCGCTGAGCATCCACGACCAAGCTACTTTACTCTTCCTGAGCGTGGGTGCTTAGGCTGCTCCGCGTATTCTGGGGGAGGGGGGGGGGATTGTGCTCGCGACTAAAACTGCTAGG